AATAATTTCATTGCAAGTATTTCTTGAGGTATGTTGTTGACCCTAAATTAAAAAAAGGTTATTCTTTTTTCATTTGACTCTTTTTATGATAGTTTTCCAAAGTAGACCTATTAAGTTGTCCCTTTTGTTCGTATTAAAAGATTTTGGGAATAGACTGGAGGTTTAAGTATTAGGGTCAAAATTATACGTTTATCTGCTGATAGGTGCTCCTATACATCTTAAACTTCCACCTATTTGTACGTTAATTCCGCTTGCGCTGCTTAAAAAAAGTACTGCTATGTATAATTCTGTCATTAAAGCAAAACATTTAAATATATATGTATCATGTTGCTGGGAACTAAAGACAAAAGGAATTTCGATTATTAGCTCTTCGACTATACCACGCTCTGTTTCACTCGCAACTGTCATGTGGTGAATCATGAGTGCAGAATTGCAAAATGACTTCGTAAAATCATTTATAGTTTTCGTCAAAGGTGACACGATAAAAAATTACTTTTTGGAAAGTGTTGGGAGATTGGTTGGATTCCTTTCCCTGAGATAATAGTAAAGCGTATCTTTTTATACTATATTAGCTGTGCCACCGACTTTGTCCGCTAAGAATATTAATTTTGGGTATCCAAATTCGTTTTTGCAAACTTCTTCCTTATAAACTAAATCTGTTACCAACGACGTAGGTTCCGTCCCTTCCCGTCGTTCTTGCAAGTTACTTTTTTTTAGATCATCTAAAGAGGAATCAATCTCTCATACATATTTTTTGGGTATCTTGAATGGCGTACGCTACGCCTCGGAAACCTATAATGATGAATAATATTCCCAAAATTTTTCACAATTCCCGCTCTACCTTCACGTCTATTAGCTATAGGGCGATGTCTTATATTATTAATATATTATATATTAAGATATTACTGTACATTCTGTAGGACATAGGAAGAAATAAATAAAATAATGTATATTTTCATTGTTTTGTCAAAGTACGTCGTACCACATAACTTTATATATTAATGCTCATTTGTCTTAGCAACTTAAGCCTTCTTAGGAAGAAATCATCGTTTATTTGCGTTCATTACGAAAATGTATTTGCGGTTGAGTCTAGACCAAATGGCCACTGTAGTTTTTGTTTGCTGTCTTTATTCTGTTGACGAGAAACATTCGTAGTTTCTCTTACCACCGCTTTTTTATTTCTTCCATAAAAGATGTTACATACAAAACAAAATCATACAAATATTGGAGGAGAAAATCCGTATACAAAGCCAAAACAGATTGACAGCGCATCTCATCTCGGTGTTATGTGGCTGGGGTATTCCACCTACCATCAAGGGAACCCCCTAAGTATCTAATATAAAATTATTATAAAATATGAAAGATAAAATTACATATACTTCAACAAATATGGTACAAAAGTCCAATCAAGACGGGTTTAAGAACGTCAAGTGAAGATTAATCGACACTTCGTTCGCAATACACAATCAATGGCTGGATTACTGCTGGATAACTTGGATTATTATGAATGACAAGAAATGGATTGCGGTTTTCAATTTTGACGTTACTAAAAACAAAAGAATGGTGAGGCATGAGGTAGTTCGGTGTTTGTTTACAATGAATAGTATTAAGGGGTATTTAGTTATTAACATTTAATTTTTACGTTGCCGGGATTCAAACACCGGAACTGTCTGACAAGCTGTAGAATTAGTATATTAAATAAATGCTGAGATGGTAAAAAGTAAGTCATCACAATATAGCCCTTTTTATTTTGTCACACAATGTTGTGGCTGGTTAAAGCTTAACCGGTTTTGCACTATTTCTTCTGGTCATAACATTAATACGGAAGTTTATAAAATTGATGGGTGGATGTTTACTCTCTCACGCTTTTCACGGAATTATTTATCTATATGGATATCTAGCATAACATTAAATAACTTACATAAATCTATAGTAATATTATTAAGCTGAAGAATTTGTTTGTTTGTTTGAACGAACTTAGTCACAGGAACTATTTGTTTGAATTGAAAAATTAGTATTGTTTCGGATATACCGCTTTAGACTATTTAACATGACGCTGCGACCAATATGAACGAAGAAATGGGGGAATTTGGGAAAAACTGCTTCCTTTGCGTGCACTGTGAAAGCGGTTTTAGAAACCCAAAAATATGTAATTCATACATTCGACTCTTCTTTAATAAGCATAATTTTAAGCATAACAGAAGAGAGGCAATAAAAGCATCTAAAAGTATTTTTCGATTCGCACTCAAAAAACCTAATCCACTTCAAATTGTATTTTAAATGGAGATTAACCCTTAACTGATATCCAAATAGGTTCTGTCAGTGGGTCCCACAATTTGGGGCTTGTAATCGGTTTAGCGGAGACTGGGTCTCCTAATATAGTGGGATGTAATCTTGAGAGGTTACTGGAAACTCTTAATTAAATTCATGCGTTGTCGGCTTTATTATATTGAACAATAATTTCGTTAGTGGTACAAGTATATTGACACGTTATAAATAAAAGCATAATATAATATTGTAACTTCCGTATGTGCGAAACAAGACGGGTAACTTTTTATTACGCTTTTGTGCCTTATATTGTTTAAATAAATAACTTTAACGGTTTAAAACGCGACATATATTAGTTAAACTGTTTTGAAAATTTGTTGCGTTTTGGGTGCTGTGCAGGTCACCGGGAGACGAAACGTCAGGCCGTAGTTAAAAATAATTTTCAAATAAGTTTAACTAATATATATCGCGTTTTAAACCGTTACAGTATTTTATTTAACTGTGTACTACTCGTGTAAACCACAGAGAAGAACAGACAATAATCCCCATGCTTGCCTGTCCTTCTATGCACTTGATTGACGGTGAAATACTCTAATCATATAATTTTATATCTACACCCCACAGCCTTTTAATATATACATTTTCCAAACTAAGTGTAACATGTTTCAGAAAATTATCATTCATTTTATTGAGCTCGAACCCACGACCCGTTGATTATTAACCATAATCATATTATAACGTTATACTATCAAATCAACAACTCCTAGACTATAATCAACAGCGTTCTTCAATTTTGGTGCGAAATATCCGCAGCCGATAAGCTGCCAATAACAATAACACTAGTTAGGACACCCAGGGGTGCTTTTATTTGGGAGAGCCGAGGGTACGTTTGGATCGAAAACAATATGAGTCTACATAATATTTCTGTATACAATATGGTGGGCAGGAAATAGAGTATTATGTAGTAATTAATGCTATGAAATGTGGGTAGAAAGTAACGTTAATAGCAGAAAGAGAAAAAATGACATTTTAATTTTATTATGAATACAGTTAAATGATTGATTGGGTTAAATAAATCTTTGAGTGAAAATCTATAGCCGCACGTAAAACGATTTCTGGCGGCGACGATGCGTGGCGAGGCGTCCGCCTCGATGGTATATTATATTAGTCTATATGCAGTACGGTGTGGCGGGCGGTTAATTTTTGTTTTATGAAAATAAATTTTTTCAATAATATTTTATCTGGAAAAATCGTAATATTTTATTTCATTGAATTTTAGTACCTATACATTGTTCTTTTCTGCCATTACTTTTACAAAATAATGGCGATGTTTCACATCTGCAGGGTCCGTGACGGCTCACATTTTTTTAATAGTAAAAGTCAAATTCAATAAAAAATCACATTGTTTTTATTTGAGACTTAGACGAGTTGATGAGTAAGTTTACCATCGTTGGTCTACTGGCATATGGCCAAAAGGATCGTGGGTTTGATTTGGCATATTTGTAATTAATTTAAAATTCCTGGCAAGAAAGTAAATGGTAGAAAATTAAAACTCCTTTCAGGTTACAAACCAACGTTTATAGATGTAAAAACTGTATATTTTGGATTCCATTAAAAATAATTCGCCAGCTCAACCCGACTTTTCTAATTTAAAAATCGAAAATAAATTTTAAAAAATTTCGACTCGGGCAGGACTTGAACCGGCATCGTCAGCGTTCCGTGCTGTAGCTCTACGTCTTTTCTATTTTAAAAAATTACAAAAATAATACAATTACACACAGATGTCCTTGTTAGGTATAAATAATTTAAGCACCCGATAAAATTAGCACGCCCTAAAAATATTCATTCGAAATTCGAATTTTTCCGAGTTAACCGGATAAAGAAGGTTTAAGGGCGTGGCGTGGACCGCAATTATGTCACGCGCCATTGGTTTGGAAATTTACAATTAAATGCATATCCGTTATACGGGTATCCGATAACAACGTAATGCTTATAATCTGCGGGAATCGGGAAAACATATTTTCCATTTATTTTAATAACTAGCGACCCGCCCCGGTTACGCTCAGGTGCAATGCTGATACTAAATACACAGCAGAAAAACTGTGAACGTTGTATATAAAAACCTTCCTGTTGAATCACTCATGTGTAAAAAAAAACCGCATCAAAATCCATTGCGCTGTTTTAAAGATTAAAGAAGAAAGAAACGGGGGAAAATTTTTTACCTCATGTGGGTTTCCGATGCGTACGCTGTGGAAACGGTTCAAGACACCAAAAATGTATGAACGAATGATTTCTCTTTAAATGATGAAAAAAATTTCCACAACACTATCACTTTTATTACAAAACGCGGACCAACCAACTCAAACCATGGTTTTTTTGAAATCCTTATTACAAAACAACGATTAACGTTTGTTACTGCACTAACTATGGTACTAACTTTCAACGTTCCCGCTCTCTGGTTTAATTATTTAGACTTAAGTCTTAAGTCAAAAGTGTCAAATTTGACGTAATTCATTTGAATTTACTAACGGTTTCGTTTCGACATTGGTGGATTGTGAATGTTTTTTTAATTAAAATTGCACTCGGATTTAGTTGGTTTGATGGATATGGAAGATATTTAATAATCGGAGATGTTGGAAATGTCTCGTCGACCCCTAAAGACGCCGAGTTCGTTTGGATCCATTTGTCTAATTATCAGATGAAGATTTCAGACAGAAATACCGATTTATCAAATGTTTCGCTGGAAAAATAGTGAATCTTTTGAGAGAACAATAAGCACGCGATCACAGGGGTGATTTTCTATCTCCATAAATGCAAGTTGTTTCGCAAATTCCGCTCTATATCAAACTCCTTTGGTAATCGGTGCAATAGACTGCACTCACATACGCATTAGGAAAGTGAGTAGTGATGGTGGTCTTCTGTACATAAACAGGAAAGGATTTCCATCTATTACTGTACAGGTAATTTCATTACACATTAACATTTTGAAATGTGAAATTAAGTAGTTCTTGAAGTTGCTGAAAAAGAATTCATTTGTTTAAGGTTGTTTGCAATGCTGAGCTGAAAATCATGGATATTGTTACAAGGTGGCAGGATAGTGTTTATGATTCGCGGATATTTAGAGAGTGTCAGTTAAAACAGAGGTAAGAAGCTGGTGCATTCTCAGGGCATTTATATAGTGGTTACCCTTGTATTCCCTTAGTTATTTACATCCATTCTAAATCCAGTAACTCAACAAGAACAATATAACAGTTCCCATAAGCGAACAACAAACGCTGTTGAGAGATGTTTTGGTTTGTGGAAGCAAAGGTTTCGTTGTTTGTTGCAAACAGCAAGGAAAACTATTGTAGCATGTGCTGTATTGCATAATATTGCTATTGATATGAGATAAGATATGTTGCCTGATGAGATTAATATTAATTAGGATTCCATTATTCAGGTAATTACTAGTGAGTAAATTGTAAGTTTAGTTGAACAGAACTTATATCACTATATAAGTTTTGTTCAACTAAACTTACAACTTAAGTGTTACATATAGTAAAAATTTACTATAATACCATAAGTTATAAATGTGGTACTACACAATACACATATTGGAAATTAGAATTGGAATTAAAATATGTAGATAAATATGTAATGTTTTGCATTTGTGAACTGATCACCCGCCCACTATCCTACTAGGTGACACCTAATTTAAAATAATACTTATTGTTTTTAGACAACAAACTGTAAATTAAATATATTATGTTGTTATAGTTGTCTGAAGCAATATATTTACCTTTTGGTAATAATGGCTGTTAAAATATTATACAAAGGCAGTTCATAGAAAGCACATTTCAGCAGTAATGGGAAGCCAAAGTATAGAGTTTAGTATCTAGGAGTAAGAATTAACTCTTAATAATTTGATCTTATTTGACATAATTGTGCATTACTGTAGATGTTTAGCCATGCAAAACCTCCAAAGTATTCAAGCTTTTTACTTTTCAGAAATCTTTTCCTTTACCTTTAACTTACTTTACTATTAATATTGTAAATCAAAGCTTCTATTCCTTAAAACCTTACAATTATTCATATATTTCAGATGCTTGGTGAACCCATGAGTAAAACAAAAGCTACAAACATTTTTTGTTCAGAAGTACTGATAGGGTGAAGAATTTCAAAGATGCTATACCAGAACAAGCAGAGAGTCCTTCCAGAACATCAAGGAAGAGCAACAAGCCACCCACTAACCATAATCACCCCGCCTATTTATAATAAAGATGATGAAAAAAAAAAGTTATTTATTCTTATTTTTTAGAAGATCTCTTCTAATTTTAGTTTTTTTATTTTAAATTTTGCTTTTTACACATTATAGTCGTGTTCCACTTTCATCATCTCCAATTGCCGTTTTTTGAATGCTCTATTGCTATAAATTATTTGATCCTGCATGTAATCTTTTTGTGTAAATTAATATAAATAAAGTATTGTCATTAAACCGAGCCTTATAAAATTAAATATATCAAAATATAACATTACTTATTGGAATGTCTCTTTGCTTGCTTTGCCTCATCCAGAACAAAAAAATAATTTAACGCTATTAGGTGAATACTGATATGACAAAATTATTTTTATTAATTATATTTAGATGGTTGTTTTATTTTTAGTTTTTACTATTGAGTTTGCTTATTCTATAAAACATGTAGGTCATCATTACTTGACTTATTACTTATGTTTTATGTTAAACAACTAATCACTTACTTCGTAGCTATTACTTTCCATTCTCGGACTTCTTTACTCTTCGGAAGTCCAATTTGCAGCTCTCTTTTTGGTTTGTTGATGCATTTTAACAATTGAAGAATTACGATATTGAAAAATTGTGTCAATAAAAAGTTTAATTAAGTCAAACAATAAATTATAAATGTAAGATGAACAAGAGCTTGCTAGCAAGGCGAAGCTTCCATAAATCGCGTTTGGCGGGAATTGGGAAATGACGTTCCGTTTGACGTACTTTATACGAATCCATTTTATAAATCCTAGAAAATATAGCCAGATTCGCAGAAATGGAACGTAAATTATCGAATTATGTATCGTGAAGGAATAATTATCTGTGGTATTTGTAGAAAATACTTAATGATCTGTGGTGATTGTTTGACAATGGCTTAATTTCCTAGTTTCTGAAGTCAAGGTTTAGTCCCTGTTTTGTAATACGGATTCATTTCGACCATGGTTCAAAAGTTAAACCAAGTCCTCCATAGTCGTGGTTTAAACCTCGTTAGAGTATTTTTTTGTAATAAGGCCGTATATGTCTATCTTTTAAGATTTTTGGATACCCAAAATAACTATTTTACGCGGACGAAGTTTCTGACACAGCTCGTAAATCATGTACCTCATCTGTCTTTAAGAGAGAGATTATTTCTAGAAATACAATGATGAAAAACTTTAGATATATTCGACATGTTACTAACTTATATATTAACTTATCCCAGAATATTTAGTTTTATTAATGTTTCGACGTTGATCTTCGTTTGTTAATTTTATTATAAAGAGATTTGGCCTTTCCTGGGCTCCCAGTTTCTAGTTCTGGACACTGAGCTTTTGCGGGTAGTCTTATATGCAGTTTATATAGATTTATTGACTGAATACTAGACATATTTTGAAACTACTATATTTTTGAAAATTTGAATCGAATTATTTGCAGAAAAAAACCGTTAACTAAATTTACATCGACGATTTAATGGAAAAAGTTGACGGTATCATTTGTAAATGTCAACTTTGAAGTGTACTTGAAAGTACCTGGATCCAGAATTTATTTGAAGAGAATATTATCTGCTTGATTGACTAACTGACAGGTAACAAATTTCAAATGAAAGCATTTATACCACATACAAATAAAAAAAAACTAAATATGGTTATATTAATGTGGAGGGACACCGCTCAGCTTTAGCTGCACTTGGAAGTAAGCACAACGCCGATGTTCAGTGATGCCCCATGCCACATTTAGTCCTCATGACTAAAAGGATGATGGTATTTTACGGTTTACTAAGTATAAGGTTGCGCGGGCTAAACGGCTAGTGTCATAGAAGATATACAGAGATACATAGAAGAAGGAGAGACATAGAAGATACTTCTGCCTGGGGAAAAAAATGCGGCGTTTTTTTGGGGAAATTTTTTTATAAAACCCCCCCCCCCCCTTTTTTCCCCGGGGGGCCCGGGGGAAAACGGGGAAAGGAAAAATTTTTTTTTTTTTCAGGGAGAGTTTTGGCCCTCGGGGTCCTTTTCCCCCCTGTTTTTTTTTTTTTTGGGGTTTTTTGGTTTTTTTTTTTTTTTTTTCCCCCCCCCCCCCCCCAAAAAAAAAAATATTCCCCCCCCCTTTTTTTTTTTTTTTTTTTTTTTTTTTTTTTTTTTTAAAGGGAAGTCGCTAAATCGTTTTTGAGACAGCAAGTCAACAGCCAAAAAGGTCGATAGCGCATCTTGGCTAGCTCTTGTATGGCAAGGACCTTTCACCAAGTAAACTCTATACTTGTCCTATTCGATCATAAAAATCACATATTTAAGACATGTGTTTCAATCCCAAATAATAGAAAATGTAATAATAATCTTATTTATTTGTTTAAATAATATTATTACACAGACATACTTCTTAATAGTTTAGTTACGTTCTAGGTATATTAAGTAAAACTTTTATCTTACTTTTAAGAGCGTCGGGCGTTTTCACTTTGCACTCAAACGAGTCTTATCTTCAGGGAAACCGCGATATCGCTTGCAGGAACTGCTAATGGGTGTTAGTGATAACATACAGTCACACATGGTTAAAATTTCTACTATGTCTTATTTTATATTATGTTTTATTTTATACTAACGGTGCCAGCGACTTCGTTCGCGTGGAATAGTTATTTTGAAGCTCCCTTTTATAACCTCCTCAGCTTTATAAATTGTAGCTGTTACCCACTACGTCGTCATACTTGTTATTTAATCTTAAAGGATAGACATATACTGTATCCGATTTTTTTTTAGATTATTTAAAATAGGAATAATTCTTTGCTACTTAGTTTTTGGTTAGTACTCTCAAATGTGAACAATTTTCCCTCTTTTTTTCCTCATTTCACTCTATTTTTTCTTCTTATTCAGTCGCCGCCTGATGTTTTATAGCTTAAAACCTACCTCAATAAATGATCAAACCAATACAAAAAAAAATATATTTCAACCACTAGTTCCTGCGATTAGCGCGTTCTAACAAACTAACTCTTCAGCTTTATATTAGTATAGACAGACCTACTTTGGCCACCTAAAATATAATATATAAATTAATCTTTACATTATTATGTAAACACACATAAAAATTATGTGCCTATACAATATATTTTATAATTATCACTATCTCTACTACTATCTTACACATAGCATAAGAACCTTATAATATTATTACAAGCAACGAAGATTACGCAACGCTAGAAAAATGCAATAATGCAGTATTGTTTATTTTTATTGCCGTCTTTATAATCTGCGGTTTGTTATGTCACACATTCTGTACTCATATGTAATAAATATTAATCTACGACGTACATACTCAATATAAATCTTTTAAATATTTAAAATTTAAAAGGATTAAGTACTTACGACTTTCTATGATTATTATTGTTCGTGATAACTTTATATAAATTAAAAAATATATATATTAAATTTAAAACAATGTATGAAGCGGACGGGAATCAAACCCAAGGCCACAGCATTCCATGATATAGATAGGTTCCACTGAGATAACGTGACCTGCTCATCTTAATAGATTCTTTCGTTCTGAAATAAATGTTTTTATAAACAAACTTAAACTATAATAATAAGTTAAGTTAAGCAGAAGTATATAAATTAGGTGTATAATTATGAATAAGTAGACCAGGTCCCTTCTGACTAAGGAAGGGCAGACCCCGTCGTCCTTAGCCTTAACACTATGGACAAAATTAAAAAAAAAAACATCTTCACAACATATCCTGTCGACCTATTCTTGACTTTGGACATTCAGCAATCGACAGACTGCAACTGAAACGCGATTGAAATTTAATCGCTTTAAAGAAATAGATAAAAACTTACACAGATGAAAACCCGTTTTAGCCCTTCGGTGTTCACTGCTTACTTGTCGTATAATATGTGTCGAAGTTAAATCCTACCTGAGCGGTACTTCATAAATGTTTCTGAATACCAAATGATATTATCAAAGTTTCTTGATTAGTTGGTTATTGTGTTGAAACTAATTATAACTATTTCCATACAATATAGTACAGGGTACCTCAGTCATCAATCAAATCATATTTGATCTAAATCTATTAGATACTGCCTGTAATTTACGCGGGTAGTACACATTTAAATAAAACACTTTAACGGTTTAAAACGCGATATATATTAGTTAAACTTACTTCAAATTCTGTAAATTATTACCTATTTATTTTATTATTAAAATCTATTTAAAACTAAAATTACTGTTACTGTCCAAAAGATCGTCAAATATGCGCCTTCTAAAACTAGGGATTTTAAATAAAACTGTAATTTATTACTTGTAGTATTCAACTACATCGACGTTTGTTTAGTAATTTAGGAGTTTTTGATAAACATTTAAAATAACATGTATATCTATTCTAATATATAAATCTGACGATTTTGTTTGTTTAAACGCTAATCAGCTCAGGAACTACTGGTTCGTATTGAAAAGTTATTTTTGTGTTGGATACACCATTTTTCAATGAAGGCTTTTGGCTATAAAACATCGTGCAGTGACTAACAGGGGCGAAGAAACAGAAGGAAACGTAGTAAAACAGCTAGTTATGTTATATATTTAGTCGAAATAAACGAGCATAGGTAAAAAAATAATAGGCAATTATCTACAGGGACAATATCACTAACCAGTTTTTGAATCAAAACTTAACTGCTCTCACATTTAATCCGTAGACTGCCATAAAGAGATTACGAAAGAACAAATAAACCCGCTATGTGTCCCTTTAACGAAGGTAATTTAGGGTAAACGCCCTCATTATTGTACCGGTCAACTTAATGATGCAGCGATTTTAAATGCGGCTTACGATTTAATGCACCCGATAAAAGGGCGTTGACCCCCAATTTAATTGTCACTGAA